GGTCGAATTAATCAGATTGGATCAGATATGAATGCCCAAACTTTTTATATTTAAATATCAATATCTAATAAGATAATTTTTTAAATTTTAAATTAAATTTTAATTAAATTAAAAGATTAATTGAAGATTTTCAATTATTTTTAAAAATCAAAATCAATATATATTTTTCTCTGAAATTAAATAAAATTAATATTTTAAAAAATAAAATTTAAAAATTTATGTACCCAACAATTCGTTAGATTGAGATTGACACAATCATTCCCAAACAAATTGCTAAGTTCTCCACGTCTACCATGAGAAACTGTGGCGCTATGGCACCCCAACAACGCGGACAACACGTAACAAGCGTAATCCACACCTTCCAATCCAAAGCTTTCAAAATTCAATTCATACCAATATAAGTACAGATCTTAAATTCAAAATGAGTGGCCGTCCCCCATTCATGAAAATTAAATTTTCTATTAAATAAGTGTTGTGTTGTGTTGTGGTAATTTAGGATTTAAGGATAATATTTTTTAAAAAATTAATTTTTTAAAATATATTAAATTAATATAAAATTTTGTTTTTAAAATCAATTTAAGAACAACTTGGCCATCAAAATAAAAAAAAAATTAAAAAAAATAAAAATAAAAAAGAGACAAACAAACAAAGTACCACCCTAACTCCCACCTTAGACTGGCACTTTCAAAATAATAAAAAAACAACTCAAGCATCAGAGTACAGAAACAGGGAATGTTGCCAAAACCCCCCACCATGGCCAGTAGTGGGTAGGGCCCCATTGGGACCACCTCCCACCGTCCCTTGCCGCCGCTGACTTTGGGAAAGTTTTCAAGTACTAGCATTTTAGGTTCTTGCAAAAATCAAATGGCATCTTAGACTTTTATGCAATGTTTTTGAACCCGGCCCGGTGGCTGACCTGTTTTGGCCAGTGGGTCTGGTTCAACCGGTTGAATCGGTTCACCCGATCGGTTCAACTGGTTGACTAAAAGACATTTTTTTTTTACATTTTTTCACATTTTCTGCGGCTTCTGTTCAGTAATGAAGGGGGGCAAAATCAGTTTGGTCTGGTGAAGGAGAGGAAGATGGGTGGCGGAGCTGCCGAGATCTGAGCAAAATCAGGGACGATCTGTTATGCTTTGTTGCTTCTGTTTGGTCTGGTGAAGGAGAGGAAGATCCGGTGAAGGAGAGGAAGATGAGTGGCGGAGCTGTCGAGATCTGAGCAAAATCA